AGAAATACGCCGATGTTATCATACCGAGAGGAGCTGATAATAAAGGTGATATCTAACTAATAATTATAAAGATACACTATCATCGTCATAATTATCATAATTATAATTAATGATTATGTTATAATAATCATCACACACAGTTGCCGTAGACTTGATTGTCCAACACATCAAAGATCTGCTGCATAAAAACGCCAGCAGCAAACGTCACTCCGGCAGCTCTTCCAGCTGCTCCGTCCACCACAGCAGCAGCAGCAGCAAAACAGCTACCCCATCAGCTGCTACTGCTGTTGTTAGCGGTCCAGCTGCTGCAGTTGATATAAATAAAAACAGCAGCTCGGTTGGTATAAATTTTGTTAATAGTACACAGGGCGGCCAGCAAGCTAGACCTCATTAACATATTTCATTACTACTATTACTATTATTTCTATTGGCTTTTCAGTGCTTCAAGTTTGTGTTTCTTAGCACGAAGTGTTCAACATTCGTATTTTTGTTTCCGGTTTTATTATTATTTTTTTATTATTTTATTATTATTTTATTATTGTTATTCCTGTAAAATATTGTTTGATAGATTGATTTAATTTAGAACGTTATTGATTTCTTTTAATCTGCTTCGTTGATATTTTTCAGTTTTAGGAAAAAAACTTTTGTTAAGAAGTGCTTATTCTGTTATTTGAAATGCTAATTTTTTGTGTTGCTACGATGGAAGAGAGAGAGAGAGAGGAGGGAGAGAGAGAGAGAGAGAGAGAGAGAGAGATGCATATAACTTGTAATTTAAACTTGTATGTTTTGTTATTTCGAATTGTGTTCGTGCGTGTTGTTAATTAAGAGAAAGATAGAAACTGAAAGAATAATGAATGAATGAATGAACGAATGAATGAAAAATGAACGAACGAACGAATGAATGGAGGAAAAAGAGATGGAGAGAAGCGATTAAACAAAGGGGAAAAATGATATATAAAGTAAAAGAGAGAGAGAGAGAGAGAGAGAGAGTGCAATATTTATAAAAATGTTCTATGTTGTAAACTTTCCTACATCAAATTATTTCTAATTCATCTTTAGGTGTGTTTTATTATTTGTTTGTATATGTGTGTGTGTGTTTGTACGTGTTCTGTGTGTGTGTGTGTTTGTATGTGCGTGTGTGTGTGTGTTTGTATGTGCGTGTGTGTGTGTTTGTGTTTATCAAATACTTTTTTAATAATGTAATCTATATGAGAGTCGTAAATGTATATACATAGATCAGTAGTGCCTTTTATGCTCAAGCTGATATACCTCTTTTAATTCTTATCTAGATAATTCATTTAAATAGTTCAATTAATTTTAATTAGTTGTTGTTATTATTATTATTCGTTTTTATTTATTTATTTATTATTATTATTATTATTATTATTTGCTTCCCCGTTTTTTTAGTCATTTTATAAAAAAAAATTTTATAGCTTTTTTATTGCTTGGCTTTGTGTCTTTAAAGATTGAATAATATAAAATAATAATAATAATAATTAAAAATGTTTTAACAATAATAACAATAATAATTTATTTCATCTTATATTAGTTGTAATAATGGTTTAATTTAAATGTTTAAAATGGATCTAGAGTTCAACTTCATCGTCACTACCGCGTCTGAGAACGTACAGTGAGAGCGATTGTGAATGGAGATATACGGAGCATCATCATTGATTGATTGATTGATTGATTGAATGATTGATTGAATGAATGATTGATTGATTGATTGATTGATTGATTGATTGATTGATTGATTGATTGATTGATTGATTGATTGATTGATTTTTAAGATTAGCGTCATCTCTTTAATCAAATTTTTGATTCGTCGATAATCGAACTGACGTCTTTTCATAGTCGAATCATTTAATTATTTTTTTATTTATTTATTTATTTATCCATCTATCTATTTTTTGCTTTTATTTAAAAAAAAATTTATTAAAAAATCCACTGGGCACAGTAAAACAATAATAATAATAATAACAACAATAATAACAACAGCAGTAATAATAAAATAATCACTTCACGATTATCGTGGGTAGCTTAGACTTATCAAAAAATCTATCGTCATCATACTCACTCCCATCATCATCATCATCATATTTTTTATTTTTAGTTGTGGTAGTAGCGCTGCTATTGGTTGTACTATTATTAGCAACAGAACTCTCTTGACCAATCAAATCTTTCGATGCTGCCTCTTGGCCAATCAGAAAAATCGGTCTATCGGCGTAGCCAATGGCGTCGTCACGCGTTCTGAAAAATTTTCTAGCCAATAGGGAGAAGGGTAGCATCATGAGAATCCAAGAAATGTGGAGAATTTCTTCAGAATGGTGATGATGACGTAATAATATTATAAATAGTAATAATTTACCATAATGATAGAAGCAGTAGTAACATAAGCAGTAGTAGAAGTACCAATTGAGGAATAGTGGCATGTCATTAACATAATTTATTCAAAGCAAATTAAATATAAATAATAATTAATAATAAAACCTTCGGCAATGGTCTTAGGTGAGAGCAACTTAGTGCAAGGTAGTTTCGAGTTGACGAGTAGCAGGTTCAAAACCAGGTTCGGAATTATACTGGCTATCAGGCATAACTGGATGCTGGCGATTTTGCCTGTGACGATAGAGGAAAAGATGATGATGGAGAAGATGATGATGGAGAAGATGACGACAAAGATGTTGATGATGTCACTATAATAAATCTTTGCTTCAGTCAGAGCCTATCAACCAACAAATCAATGAAATCTGCGATCTCACAATTACTTCTCAAGTCTCATAAAAAAAACCTCTCCTCAACATCATCATCATCATCCTGTTTTATTCCATCAACAAACTAACCGATCAACCAGTCAATCAGTTAACCAATCAACTAATCAATCTATTAATCAACCAGTCAGTCAATAAACCAATCAGTCAACAAATCAAATCTCTGATTTTAAACTAACGTAATCAGCCAACTAACCAATCAATCGTTCACTCGTCAATTCAGCGAATCAATCAACCAATCAATCAATCGACAAACCAACCAATCAATCAATCAACCAACCAACCATCCAAACCTCCGATTTTAAATTTTTTCTCAAGTTCCGGCATGAAGACCTTCCTAAGAAGCATCAGCCCGTACACGGCTATCAGTGTCGACGTCACGTTAATTACAGTGATGTACAAGAACGCCCTACTTATTTTCATCTGAACATCATAAATATTAATAATAAAAAACAATAATAATAATAAATAATAATAATAATAATATTATTACTTATTTTCATCTAAAAATAATAAATAATAATAATAAACAATAATAATAATATTACTTATTTTCATCTGAAAATAATAAATAATAATAGTAATAAATAATAATAATAATAATAATAATATTACTTATTTTCATCTGAAAATAATAAATAATAATAAACAATAATAATAATAACAATAACAATAATAATAATAACCTCGCCCTGGACGTAAGAGCCGTTGGTCCAAAGGACGGCGGCCACAAAAAGCGCCAGTGGTCGTACTATCGCCACCTGCATGATTTGTAGGTTGATCCGGAAGAATAAACCTCTGCAGTTAGGCGATTGGTTGAATGGTTGATTGGGGGTAGTTGATTGGTTGGCTGGTTGGTTGGCTGATCTGTGGTTGGTTGCTTGATTGGTTGGCTGGTTGATTAGTTGGTTAATTGATTGGCTTACTAAATGGAGGTCAATTGAATGGTTTAATGAATGTTGGTTAGTAATTAATTTTTGGTTGGTTGAATGATTGACTGGTTTATTAGTTTTTTGAATGAATAGTTGGTTCGTTGCATCTACTACTACTACTACTCCTACTACTACTACTACTACTACTACTACTACTACTACAACAACTACTACTACTCCTACTACTACTACTACTGCTACAACTACTACTATTACAACAACAACTACTACTATTACAACAACAACAACAACTACTACTACTACAACAGCAACAAACTTCGTCAGCTTTTTCTTCTTCAGACAAACACAACAGCAACAAACAGGTAGTGTCGCGAAGTCCACCATTCTCGGCGCGTCGCCCACCAGGGACCACACCCGACGGCTGCCACCGAGGTAGTTGATGATGAGGCGGCCAAAATTGTAGAGACATGTGGCAAAATAACTTTGGTAGAGAAATGGTAGCGTATTAACGGTACTACTAGTGTTTATATTTCTTATTTATTATAGGCTTTGGTATTTTCATTTTTTTGTACTATGATTTGTCAGCTCAGACAGTGAGAAAAAAGATACACGGGCGTGTGTGTGTGTATGTTTATAAGTGTGTGTGTGTGTTTGTATGTTCCTGTGTGTGTTTGTATGTTCGTGTGAGTGTGTGTGTTCGTTTTTGTGCGTGCAAGAAGGGTTGATAAAGATGATGGATACGTAGCTTGATTTTTTTGACTTTAACGATTATATTAATGATAATAAAGACAGACTTTAAAATGATGGCAATGAAGAAGATGATGATGTGACGACGATGATGGTGATGATACTCACAGATTGGCGATTAGATCGACCAAAGTCGCACAGCGCGGAATGAAGCAGGCGAGTAAGCCACACATTGAGAACATCTGATTGATGGTGATGATGATGATGAAGAGGAAGAAGATGAAGATGATTGAAATGAAGATGACGATGCTTGCAGCAACGAAAACAACTTCTACTACTGCAATAACAACAACTACTACTACTCTTAACACTACTACTACTACTACTACAACAGCTACTACTACTACTACTACTACTACTACTACTACTACTACTACTACTACTACTACTATTACTACTACTACTACTACTACTACTGCTACAGCTACTACTACTACAATCAAACACCACAACAACAACAACAAACCGGATAAAATGCCAGGACCCAAATAGTCTTCTTCTTTCTGCTGCTGATGCTGAAGGTTTTCAACAGGAAGACGATCTCCTCCAGATAAATGACAATCGTGATGACGGTGAAGAGGCAGAGGATGCC